GAGAAACTGAGTTACCCAGTCTCACACAGTCAGTATGTGTCAAAGGCAAGATTTGAACCCAGGTCTTCCTGACTTTGTATTATATTGTGTTGTCCTCTCCCAGACCATTCTATAGATGGGAAAATTGAGGCCCACATAGGAAAAATTACTTGTTTAGGGTCCCATGAATAGTGAGTAGCTAGACTTGAAGGACTAGAAGGAAGCCAAGGAAACCAGGAGGTGAGGGTGAGGAAAGAGCATTCTTGGCCTAGAAGAGAGAAAATGTCGAGTCCTGACACAGAATGTCTTGTTCATGGAACAGAAAGTGTCACTAGAACAAAGAGTACACATATTGGGGGACAGGACGACTGGCAAGGTTGGAGAGGTAGGTAGGTTATGAAGGGCTTTGAACACCAAAGAACTTTGTATTTGATCCTGATTTGGGGCTGGGGGGACAGTGATACCCTACAATTTAGGAAAATCATTTTAACATCTGAATGTTAATTCAGTCCAATAGACTGGAGTGGAGAAAGATTTGAGGCAGGCAGACCCACCAAGAGGTTATTGCAAAAGTCCAGGCATGAGGAGATGAAGGGCTACACCTAGATGCAACTGGATAGAGGGCTAGGCCTAAAGTCAGGAAGACCTGAGTTCAGGTCCAACCTCAGAAAATCGCTGTGTGACCCTGCGATAGTTGCTTAACCTTATTTTGCCTCAATTTCCTCATTTGTAAAATTGGGATAATAGCACTTACCTCCTAGGATTGTTGTGTGGATCAATTGAGAAAATGGCAAAGCACCTGGCACAGAGTAAACACTATATAAATGTTACCTAGTTATTATTTTTCTTACTACTACTAGAGAAGGGAAGCCTATTTAAGAGATATTACAAAGGTGAAATTGACATCTTGGCAACAGATTGAATATGGGGGAATGGGGGATAGAGAGAGTAGAGAGTTAAGGATGACACCTAGGTTGTGAGCCAAGGGGACTTGAAGCATGGTGGCACCTTCAACATTAATAGCAAATTTTGGAGAGGGGTAGGCTTTAGGAAAAAAGATAATGAGTTCAGTTCACATCCAATGTGAGATGTCTGAAAGGCAGTTGGAGATTCAAAACTGAAGTCAGTAAAGAGGTTAGGGCTGGGTAAGAGAAGACCCACCAGCACAGAGATGATGATTGAATCCATGGGAGCTGGTAAGTTCAGTGGAGGTAGTATAGACAGGGAAGAGGGCCTCAGAGTCCTGTGGGGCACCCACTGTTGGTGGGCATGGCAAAGGAGACTGAGAAGCAGCAGTCAGATAAGTAGAGCCAGAAGACAGTAGTATACCAAAAACTAGAGGGAAGAGTATCAAGGAAGAGAGGCTGATCGACGGTGTCGACAGAGGTCAAGAAGGATGAGGTTTGAGTAAAGGCCTTTGGCTCTAGTGATTGAGTCCGCTTAAATCCTTGTCTACTAGAGATACTTTTAATCTATAATTGCTTTTTGAATAGTGGAGTGAAATTATCCTTTTTTTTCCCCCTGCCTTTGGCCTGGAGTCCCATACCACATACGGTATGAATCGCAGGAAGCTTAAATAATTCCAGGAAGCAATTGTTTGTATTATCCCAATTGGGAAGACTAAGGAGTCTATTATTTAAGAGTCCTGAGGCTATGGTGGAAAAGAACTGAACTTGAAATCATAACATGTTAACCCAGGTTTAAATCCTCATGACATTCTAATTTGGCCCTTGATGAGTCATTCAACCTTTCTCGGCCTCAGTTCCATTATCTGTAAAATGGAGATGTTGCTAATTTCTAATTAGGGAATGCCAGGTTATGCCTCTTCTTTTTGGCCAAATGCCTTCTTGGTATCCTTTAAATCACACCATGAAAACTGCCACCTAGTCTTTCGAGTCATAAGGATGATCCTAACCCCAGATGTTCTTGATAATCCTTGTCCAGAGATTGTCCAGCTAACAGCTTGCTTTGTATTTACGAAAAGCTGGGGACTTTGTGTGCATCATAGTGTGAGCGTGTATGCATACCAGAAGGTGAAGAGTGAAGCATTCACTGGTGTTTTTAATTTACTTCAGGTCCTCAGGAAAGTTACTGCTCAGGAAGGTTGGAGGAGTCAAGATGGTCACCATGAAGTCAAAAGGCTGCAAGCTCTTCCTGTCTTTGAGCACTGCTATTCTTATCACTGCAGTGATCTCCCTGCTGCTCTATGCCCTGATCTGGAAGTCAGGCAACCTCGTTGACCTACCCACCATGAAAATTGGCTTCTACAACTTCTGCCTGTGGAATGAGAGCACCCATTCTCTCCGGTGTCATCAATTCCCTGAGCTGGAAGAGATGAGGGTGTCCCAGGTTGGAATTGCCCTGGCTAGGTTAGGTGTCTATGGGGCTCTTGTCCTTGCTCTCTTCGCCTTCCTGCCTCTCCTACTGGCCTGGTGCTATGATAACGAGGACAAGTGGAACCTGACAGTGGTGCTCCTGGGGGCTTCAGCAGGGCTGCTGCTGGGCGGACTTTTGCTCTTCCTTTCCTACACCTCTCAGTGGATCAAACCCTCGATGCTGGGTGCTGAGTTTCTAGCCCTGACTGGGGCAGAAGTCATGCTACTGATTCTGCTTCTTATCATTGTCAAGTACCCCCTTGCTTATGAGAGAAACAGACTTGAGCCCCAGGGAACAAAGACCTACATCTACAGAGAGGGCAGCCCTACATCTATGGCCTTACTTGGAATAGATATAAACCCAAATAAGTTTTCCAAGGATCACTGGGAATGTGTGAGAGACATCCCTGTCCATTTGCCCTTTTCCCCTAAGGAAAGCTGGGGAGGGTAAAACTTGATTAACTCTTCTCCATATCTATCTCTTGGGTCTTTTTTTTCCTCCTACCAAAGAAAAATAGATGTGGGAAGACCCTTTTGTTGTTGTCATTTTTCAGTCATGTCTGACTCTTCGTGGCTCCATTTGGGATTCTCTTAGCAAAGATACTGGAGTAGCTTGTCACTTCCTTTTCCAGTTCATATGAGAAATGAGGAAACTGAAGCATACAGGGCTAAGTGATTTGTCCAGGGTCACACAGCTAATTAAGTGTCTGAGGCAAGAACTTGCAAAGAGTCTTCCTGATTCCAGGCCCAGTGCTCTATCCATGGTGCCACCTAGCTGCCTCAAGGAATACCTCAGATCCTATAAAATTTTGCTCTGAAGGAGTTGCAATATGGCAGCAAGAAGTAAGGGAAGGCACTCAGACCTTGCAGTATGGCATAAAGAAGATGGGCAAGGAACCTGAAGGGCAAATCACATTATTTTTAGGGATGAAAGAAAAAAGTAAACAGCTTGCCATGATCCTTGACTACAATAAGGGAATACTTACCCACCTACTGCTCTAATCAGAAATGATATCATTTCTCTCAGTGGAGGATACAAGCATGATAGCCTATACATTAGTGCTGTGTTCTGTACTTTATTAAGTATCATTCACCTGGCTTTTAAAGCCTGTGGGTAAGTGGGCTATTCATTTTGCATAAGGATAACGTGGAATGATCTCACGTGCTGCCTCCTGCAGATGTCCTTTTCATTTAATCCTGTGCTTCCCCTATTACACACAAGCAGTGAGTGGGAACACAGAGATGCCCAGTGGTTCCAATAGTGATATGCCAAAGAACAAGGACTGCTTAACTAGAGTCTTCACACGGCAGAGCAAAGAGGACACCAATGGAGTTCTTCATACCTCTCCTTTAGAAATTGGGTTCCTCGAACTCCCAGGCACTGACATTAAGAAGCTCTCGATTTGTAGCCTTTTGTCACAAGTACAGAGAAATTTCACTTTTTTTTCCCCTATCAAGGAAAATGGGTATCATGTATCTCTTTCAGGACAACTTCTACTCTCTGTTCTGATTCCATCTTTACCAGGTGAATGTCTAAGAGCAATTTCTGGTTCTCCTTCTGCCTCTCTGGCTGTTCCTTTAGTGTCTCCATCCTGTCCCCCACAAGCTCCTCTTCCTCCTCCTGCTCTCTCACTATGGATGTTTCCTAAGCTTGTGTCCCCAGGCCTGTGATTTTTTTTCTCTCCTCTCCCTTGGAGAACACATCTGCACATTTTCAACCAATGCTTCTATAGAAAGATTCTCAAAACAATGGTTATTTCTTCCTTGGACTTACAATAAAAGGTCACATTTTTATGGATGAAGGCTTTGAAGGCACTTTCTTCTTTATACTTTCTTTGAGAGACATCTTCTTTTCGGGGAGAGAGAAAAGACTTTGGGAAGCAGCAGAAGCCACATGGAGGAGCCAGCACCTCAACCCAGGATTTTCCCTTGAGTAAGACTGGGGTCTTTCTCTTCGTTGGGCTGAAATATCTGGTTCCTAAGGAGAATTCAATTACTCTGTGGATTTTCTGGTATATTTTAACCTGTGTAACTTCTCCAATTTCTATTTAGTCTTTGCTTGCTATTCACGATTTGTGGTGGTGCAAAACTAGCATTTGGCAGGAAAGAGCCTACAGGCCTAAGTTTAGGGTACCCTTGTATTTTAAGAGACAGTGGTCAGGAAAGCATCTTGGAACTACAAGATGTGCCTCTTAGACCATCAATATTTAGGGGATCAGATAGATATAATTCTGTATATCTTATTTTGTGTATATAACTTGGAGATATTGCAAGTTTGGTTCAAGACCACCACAATAAAGCAAATATCATAATAAAGAAAGTCATATGAATTATGTGGAGACTAGCTCTGATTGATTATTCAGGTTAGGAGGAAATACATAACCTATTTCTCTGCACATGCTGTTAAAACATCTGCCAGCCTTATGTAGGGAAAGGTGGACTCCATCAAGAGGATTTTTGCCAGTCGAGTTGGAAATAGCATATGCTTACAGAAGCAATTATTTTCTAAGGAATATACACAGCAGGATTCAGAGCATTTTTTTCTGAATCTAAAATTTTTGATAAGACTGTCAATAATTTCTAGGAAATCCTATATACAGGCATACCTTAAAGATATTGCGAGTTCAGTTCCAGATCACCACAATAAAATGAGTCAATTTTTTTTATTTCCCAGTGCATATAAAAGACTTTGGTTAAAAATACTAGGAGGAAGGCTTACACAGGCAGGGATATCCTCCCCATTTTTCAAATTTTCCCTGATGATAATGAGGAGATTCCCCACAGGGGTCGAGATAGGTAGGTCTTTGCCTCCTTTTTCCACAAAGTCACCTTACTGTGCCACACTGCCATAAGCCACCTAACCTGGCCCCTTCCTCTTCTCTCATCCTACCTGAAGTAACTGCTTTTGTAGTTAGGGTCAAGCCATGAGCTCTGAGTCTTATCAATAATAAAATATGAACTGTCTAGCACGTATATCTGTCTCCTTCTTCGTTGTCCATTATAAATTGCCTCTCTGGTACACATTAATTAGTCTTGTATGTGTTTGGTGCAAGTCAGTTTTTCCCAGAATGTGATTACCCTCTGGATAAGCTGACCATGGAGTTTCCAGAACCACAGACCTGTGGTTAACACTGCTTAACACTGAAGTAAAGCTACACCATAATAATTGTGAGGACTTTCCTGGCCACACACTTAACTGCTCACTACTACACCATCAATTCAATACCAGTTTGGACTGCCCTGATTTGACTACCCTGGGCTAATGCTCTGGGATGCAGAGGCTTCACTCCAAGGGTGCAGCACTGCATTCCCTGCTGGTTAAACTTGGCAACTACGAGCATGGAAGCATCCCAACACACTCAAAGCAAAACATTCTCCGAATTTTTCATCTATCTTCTCAACTGAAAAATATTTCCCTCACATATTTTAATGCATCCTCATCCTCTTCATCTTCTGAGTTCTTCTTGTGGCCAGAGGCTGAATACTCCTGCTTGCCTGAGAGACTTGTGCGAAGGGCATCATTCACCTCCTCCTCTCCACTGCTACTGCTCTCAGAAGCCCAGGGGGACTCTGGCTGTGTGGTTTGGGCCTTATCAGTTCCCAGCAGCAATGTGTGCTCCAAAGGCTTTTCCTGTTTACGGCACTGAAGAAGGGGAAAAAAAGATAACCATATTTTTACTGACATCCTAGTTTGTTTATATAGAACACAAAATTCCTACAGGTCTAGGGTAATTTCTGGGTCATGAGTCATTCCTTTCCCCTTCACTATTCTCCACTCCCCTTTCATTCCCTCCCCAAACCCAATCCCCACCCCCAACATACACACCTCTGAATAGTTCTAGAGAGAAGCCAATACTAGAGAGGGGACAGAAGAGGGCTGGGGAAAAGACTTTGCTCAGGAAGTCAAGCTTCTAGCCCCAAAACAGAAGAAAAAAGGGAAAGTAGGAAGAAATAATTTCATTAGGCAGGTCCCTTCTTGAATGAGCAGAGCCAAAGAACTCCAAAGGAACTCAAGAAGGGAAGGGAACAGCAGCTAAGTGTCCACTGTAGGCCCATTAAGAAATCACCCACATGCACAATGGTAGAATCCTTTTCCACTCCTTTCTATCTACCTACACAAAAATAGCATAGCCAAGACAAAGTCAATAGCTAGGCCACACAGATGCACACACACACATCCATATTCTCCCTAGCCCATGTCTCACAAACAGAAAGAAGAAAGGCAGAAGAAAGTATGGGTGAGGAGATTAGTGAGAAAGATTAGTGTGGTGACAGACTGCATGAAGCAACAGAGAGACACTTGCCCAACCCTGGGCAAGTCACTTCATTTCTGTCTGGCGAAGTTTCCCCAGCTATAAAATGGATCATAACAGCACCTACTTCCCAGGGTTGTTGTGAAGATGAAACAAGATAATATTTGTAAAGTGCCTAGCACAGTGCCTGGCACATAACAGGTGCTTAATAAATGTTCTTTATCCCAATCCCCAACTAGAACATGTTGAGGCACTCTGAAATGCTAATATCTGTTTTCATTAATATTAAACATTAAAGACCTCAAATCCACCCTTAGAAGTTTTCTGTTCACAAAGATACAAATGGAGATCCACCAGAATAAAAACTCTTTACCTCAATCAGGATACCCAGAGCAACATCCACCAATTCGGCTTCATTCATGAAGTACACAGTTCGTAAAGAGGGAAGACTGAAAGAGAAAGAAACAAAGGCAAAGATGGATGCAAAGTGAGTCCCAGACGGATACACAAAAGGGAAACTGGAGCTGAGAATGGTGTAGCCCCTACCCGCCAAGAATGAGAGTATGCACATCTTTCTGATCTGAACAGCTTGCTCCACATACGATGTGAAGCCTAGGACTGTCAGAGGAAGGAATTTAAGTGAGAAACCATTGGTTAGTCCTTGCCTTTTCCCTATAATATGCCCTTCACTTAAGACAGATAGACAGACAGTCAGACAGACACAGACACACAGACACAAGAGATGTTAAATCCCTCAAACAACTAAAAATAATGCAACTAACTATGTGTCCTGGATGATACCTGGTTTGTAATCAGCATTCACTACATTTTCAAATGATAGCTGATTCTCTAAAAAGCACTAAGGGCAAGTCACCACATCTCATTTACCTTTACATCTTCACCAGGTCACACACTGTTTTTGTACATAGTATATGGTAATGAAATGTTTTCTGAATGAAGTGACTGAGTATTGGTAGAAGCTTGGATGAGATGATGAGAGAGAGATCTGAGATTGATTTGAGGAGAGAGAGAGAAGGATTGATTTGAGAAAGATATGTGTGTGTGATGAGAATCAAAAAAGAGTTCAAAGTATTTAAAGGACGGCCAGATGGAAGAGAGAGTCGACTTGTTCTGTCTGGCCCCAGAATAGGTAGGGAATGCAGAGAGACAAACACAGCCTTGACAGGGAAACCTTCCTAACAATTAGAACTGTTCACAACTGGAATGGGAAGTAGTTGGTTCCCTTTCAATCAATCCATCAATAAACACTTATTAAGTCCTTATGATGTGCAAAGAACTGTACTAAGCACTGAGGATGCAAAGAAAGCAGCCCCTGCCCTCAAAGAGCTTACTTTTTTAAAAATAATTTTTATTTTTTGGTATTCTGAATTTGACAAATACCAGTAAACATAAGCATTTCCATATAGAAAGGAGAGAAAAAAGAGATTTACACTTGAAACCATAAATGTTCATTATGAATAGTTTGCTCTTTTGAAAAAGTACATGATAAATTCAAGACATCAATTTCAAGTCCATCTTGCTTGTCCGGGTGTCCTGAATTTCCTTTTGTTCTCTAAGATGACATTCTAATGGGGGAGAAAACATGCAGTCCTTCACTGTGAGTCTTCAAGAAAAGGCTGAACACCTGTTGGTATGTTGTAGTGGGAAATATTTTTTTTGGGGGGGGGGGGGAGGTATGCTTTGGGCCATGGAGATCTCTAAAATTCTGCAATCCTGTGAAGGAACCAGAACTCTGCTACCCATGAAGTTTTTCTGAATAGGAATATAGGTGTCTCAGGAATGGAAGAGCATTCTGGAGGTTCCTTCCAACCCAAGAATGCTCCCCTTCTAGATAGGGGAGTACTGATAGATGAAGAAAGAGGAAGATCCAAAGAATTGGAAGCTAAGAGAGTGCCCATCAACTGAGGAATGGGTGAACAAATTATGGTACAAGAAAGTAACACTACTGTGTCATAAGAAATTACAAAAGGTACAGTTTCATTACAAATTTCCAGCAAATTATGTTGTTCTTCATGCCTCAGCTATGTAACAATCACGCTGCCCTCAACCCTATGATGTCACCTACCCTGTTCTGTTTTTTTTCCCTGTACTCCCCAAACCTATTAAAAAAAAAAAAAGCTGTCCTTTTACTTGGGATCTCTGGTTGGAAACTGAGGCAAACATTGACCTATCTTATTCTCATGTTTCATGCCCTGTGAATAAAATGTTATCTTGTGCAGAGAAACATGCCTCAGTTTACCTTTTTGTTACATTTTACTCACAACTAGAAGGGCCCTAGACCACAGAGGTTTTGCTGCTGTGTAGCAGCCATCTGAAAAACTCACCTCAATGATGCATCTGCTGACTGCTCTGTGGTTTTTCTCCTCTTAGTTGGCCTCCATATTGGCACTGATTTCCTCTCATCCACCCGGGCTATCATCCATGGAGGAAGTTCCCTCTTTTTACTCTCAGGCTGGGCATCTGCCATCTTTCCAGACTCCCAGGCAGAGCGCTGAGGACCCAGCCAGTGTCACAGGTGATGGTACTGCCCACTGATGGCCTTCCTGTTTCAAGGTAGCAAAAACCAACCCCCTGTCGGAGTAACAAAAGTCAAATCTGTTTGTATTCTTAGCACAGTGCCCGACACATAGAATAAATGCTTGTTGTCTTGACTAACACTGCTTCCAAGTAAAATAAACACCATAAGAGAGATATAAAACAAAGTGACAAGAGAGTTCCAAGATCATCTTTGGCTGAGGGTATCAAGAACGGCTTCATGGAAGAGATTTCATTTTGGCTTATCTTGCTATTGTTACAGTCCCATATGTGTGTGCAGGCCTCATGCATGAGGTTCAGTGATCCCGTCTATTGGCTGGAACTTGGTTCCATCAATCGTCCCCCCCCCCCACTTCCTTCTAGTTTACCTAAACACATCAGTTTTATGTCTTTAAAACAAAAAAGCTTAAAGGCACCAGATCTAGCCAAACTGGTCTATTGACTGTTCTCAGAACACAACATTCTCGCCTCCACACCCATGATCATGTTCTTCTTCCTAAAAAGACTTTATCATGTCCTATTGTCTCTTAGCTGCTTGTGCCCCTACTAGACCAGCAGCTCCAAACTTTCTCTCCACCCTCCCAGCTAGCATGGGCACTGTAAATGTTCACTGAGTTCAATCTCTTCTTGTAGCTCTTTTAAGACCCAGGCTTAGTCCTACCTCCTTAGTGAAGTCCTAGCCTCCACAGCCCCAGCAAAATGCCTCAAACACACAAGTTTGCTCAATTGAATTCTAACAATCCTAGCTAGCCCTCCACCTCCCAATTCCCTTCCTTTAAACTGTCTCTGACAAGCCTGGAACATTCTCATTTCCATCTCTTGGAGGTTTCCCTGGCTTCCTTCAAGATTCGGTTCAACTCCTACCTTCTGCAGGTCTTTCCCAATCCCTGGTCCCTTGACACCCTGCCCTCCCCTGACAACTTTCCTCTGAGATCACCTTCTATGTACCTTGAATGTAAGGGCAGTTAGGTGGCACAGTGAATGGAATGCTGAAAGAGCAGAGTTTAAATCCTGTCTCAGGCACTTTACTAGATGTGTGACCTTGGTCAAGTCACTTAACCCTGTTTACCTCGGCTCCCTATCTGTAAAATGAGCTAGAGAGGGAAATGGCAAACCCCTCCAGTATCTCTGGATACCCCAAATGGGGTCATGAAGAGTCAAGACTGATTGACTAAACAACAAGAAATATTTTATGTACAAAGTGATTTGCATATTGAATTAGAATATGGGTAGGGATGGTGTTTTTGCTTTTCTTTTGTCTCCCTAGAGTTTAGCATAGTGCCCCCTGCCCTCAGCAGGTGCTTAATAAATGCTAGCTGACTTCCCCTGGGGAGCATTCCTTTCACCTAATTCTTGTTGTATATACTGGCTGCACCACACTGGGTATGTGGTATATATGCAGCCTGACGTGTCTATCTGCCTCATCTCCCCCACTAGACACAAGCTCCCCAAAAGCCCATCTTATTCTCCTAGAATCCCATACAGACCTAACAGCACCCAACGCACAGCAGGTGCTGAAAATGTAGGATTGATGTTATGGGCCCTGGGAAACCTTCCCCCTAACTCTCCTTGAGTTTTCTCCCACGTGGTCAAGTCTTGGCATCATCCCAGTAATCCCCTAAAGTAGCCTATGCCCCATCTCCCAATTCTTCATTACCCTTAATCTAGCCCAGCCCTCCACTGTCTATTACCTGCCCATGGCCTCCAGCCACTTGCCACCCTAGATCCTATCTAGACCCCATTCTCCACCTCCCAGTCACTCCCATCAAGATCCTCCCTAGACTCTCCTCCAGTCACCCCAGGTTACTGGTCACTCCCATCAACATACCTCTTCTCCCAGACCCCTCCTCCAGTCATGCCAAACTACTCAGCCACTCCTAGATCCCTCCCACAGTCTTTCTGTATATGAGGCCCATCTTGTCTCCGTTAAGATGCTAAGATTCTTAAAGTCTAGCCAGGGGCTGAGACTTGCCCAAGCCTACTGGTCAACCCCAGCGTCACAAATGCTTAGATTCCTTAAGGGTCTGGCCAATATGGCGGATCTTTAATAAACCTTGAATTTTGCTTAAAGAAGGATTGGGTCGAATACACCGGGGCCTGCAGGACCCGTGCCACGTGACTTTGGGGTGCCAGCACCCCTAAACCTCAATAGGATGACGCGCCTTTCTGGGGAAGACACCGCGTCACTTTCATCCACCCACTGTCCCTCATGCCCCGGTCTACCGCCCCTCTGAAGACCGGGGGACTCTGAAGGCATCTACGACTCCGGCCCCGTCGGTGTTACAGGAGAGGGAATCGGGTCTCGGGGCGGTAAGGCGGCTAACCTGAGGTCACGGGGGCACAGGGGTCACAGGGGGCCTCTGACCTACGACCTCTGGCTTCCCCTCCCGTCACGTATCACGGGAACCCGGAAAGGCCCTTGGAAGCCGTCCAGCCGTCCAGCCCACCACCCCTCCTCATGGTCATGGGGTCTCCTGTTCGGACGGAGGAGTTAACAGAGGCTCCGAGCGGGCTGAGTGCCGGGCAGGGGTCACCCAGAGAGCCCCGGACCGAACGGCCAGCACGGACGGCAGCGCCTCCTCCGCCTTTCAGGCCTTCTCCAGTCTCTTCCGCCCCTTCCCCGAGGCCGGGGCGGGCTTAGCCCAGGCCCTCCTCCGACACCTCCCCTCGCTCCTCGGGCTCGGGGCCTCAGCCTGGCCCCAAGCTCCGCACCCGCTCTCCTTTACCGTCATGGGCTTGGGACCGTCGCCCAGACCCGCGCCTCCTCCATCTCTAGGCTCTAGGTCCCGGGTCCAGGTCCCGGCTCCGCCCAGAGGAGCAGGCGGCCGCCACTTCCGGACGCTGAGGACGGGGCGCCCCCTGCTGGCGGGCACGAGGCCGTGCGGCTTCCGCAGGCTCCCTTCCCCCCCTCCCACCGCGCCGACTTCTGGGAGCCACGCCCACTTCCCCTCTCCCCCGTCCCCCCGGGCTTCCGCACCGCTGAAACGGGCGTGAAGGGGCGGGCCTTCCGCCTCGGTGGGGTTGAATTTAGCTAGTGAGGCCCCGAGTCCAGGTTAAAAGTCTCGAGTTGGAGGCGCCTAATGTGTCTCACCTTCCCCCACACCGGGGGTGTTAAACGCAGACAGACACCTGTGGATCCTTGCGGGCCGCACGCTGACTTAGAAAGTGACGTGGTCACCTTCTGTCTGTGCTGTCGTATTTGGATTGTGCTAAATCTCTCCCAGTTCCCTTTCGGTGTGGTCGGGGCAGCCCTCGTCCTCTGAGCGTCCTGGGCCCCACTCCACACCGCTTCTCATTCGAGGGCTGCGCGTAGGGCAACCTTGGGGTAGAAAGCACGGGCTTGAACTCTGCGCTGGGGAGTGAGAAGAGAATGCCAGGAGAGCTCGCGGAAACCTTTTGCTGTTTCTAAGAACCTCACAAAAAGTGCCTCCCCCAAAACGACTCTATACAGCCAACTGAAAAATGAAGCCTGCTATCATTCTAATAAACTCGTAATCTAAGGAAGGCTACCTGTTCTCTACCAACAGGCTGAAAAGGGGGGCGTGGCCAGCTTGGTTAGTGTGGTCTGGGTCTGTTTCCCGCCCCCCCCTCAAAAAAAAGTGGGGAAGGGTTAGAGAAAAGCAAAATTTTGCAAGCGGAAGAGTGACAAGGAAAGGGCAGTGGGGGGGGCAGGGGCATCTGTCCCATAGTCAGTGTTCACACATTGGTATCACTGGCTAGAATCTTGTAGGGTGCAGTGAACTTCATGCCAACAACCCCAGTACTAGGCCACCCGCTAACATTGGACAATCATCATGCAAATCTACTTAGCCTTAGAATATCGAAAGTACTTTTCTTTTGGCTGTCACTCCCCTCAGAAACCTTCAGTGGTTTGCCAAACGTTGACTAACCAAATATAGATCCAAACTCCTTGGCATGGTATTCAACACATCCCAAGATTTGGCCTCAATTTACAAGAAAACCCCAAATGGGGTCACAGAGTCAGACATGACTTAACTATAAATACCCCTTATATGACACTAACAAAATACTAACTTCTACTACATGTATTCGTATAAATCTTATCTTTCCTAATAGAATGTTGGTTGCCACCATATTCTTTTTTATATCCTTTCCACCACTACCACCATCCAATAATTGAACATAGTAGGTATTCAGTTAACATTGGCTGAATAAATATCAGAATTCAGGGGTTTTTTATTCCTTTACTCAAAAAGGATTTTTAAAAATAAAAGCAAAAACCATAGGAAACCTTAGAAATACAACCACAAAATGCCCTACAAAAATCTAACTTTAAAGTATTTTCTAACGTGCCAATCATGCCACACTTTAAAATTATAAAGTATATTCTTTTCTATTCTCTATGCTATAGAGAAATTAGATGGAAAAAATGTTCAACTCTCCAGTCACCCTGATTTATATCTTGCCACTGAACCCAGATGGCTCCAGAGAAGTGAGGCTGGTGACTTTGCACAGCCCTCCCTCACTTAAATCCAGTTCACTTGCAAGTCATGGTATCACCTTCCTGATGTCATGATCCTCTCCAAGAACGAAGGACAAACAACAATTTTTACTAAACTTTATTAAATTATAAATTTCATCATCAATTTATCTCATAATTTCTTCCTGATGTTCCCTCTAAAATGGGGGAGGATAAGAGGCAAATTATGAGCACTGGATACCCTGTGTTCTACCTCTGCCTTGTAGTGAAATGAATAGCAAACCACCAGAGATTTCATGATTATTGTTAGTATGTCAGGTATCGTGTTGTCCATGTGTGAGGACAGTTTCAAAGCCATTAAATTATTTTATATCTTAGATTCCCCAACCTCTTCTTTTTAAGTTCCAGGGTTGTAACTTAAACATGCAAAAGACAAGGAAGGAGCCAGGCGTACAAACTGCTCTTCAAAGGGCCCTAGACATTGGAATTGCAAGTCATTGGCCTTACTTTCTATCCTACCAGTCTCCTGTTGGCCACCATGTTTTAAACTTCATAGGGCAAACCACTGTACAAATTTCAGTTTTGGTTTTTTTTTTTTGGCAATTGGGGTTAAGTGACTTGCCCAGGGTCACACAGCTAGTAAGTGTCAAGTGTTAGTCTGAGGCCAGATTTGAACTCAAGTCCTCCTGACTTCAGGGCTGGTGCTCTATCCACTGCGCCACCTATAGCTGCCCCTCAAATTTCAGATTTTTCCCTGGGTTGAAGAATACCTTGGCCAGGGAAACAGTTCCAAAGGCATCACAGAAGCAACTATGGTGTGAAATAAGGGGAAGGGGGAGAGGTAGAAGGAGAAAAGCATTTAGATAGTATCTTTACAAATATGGTCTCATTTCATCCTCACAGCAACCCTGGGAGGCAGATGATGTTACTATCCACATTTTACAGTTGACGAAACTAAGGCAGAGGTTAAGTGACTTGCCCAGGGTCACACAGCTAGTAAGAGTCTGAGGCCAAATCTGAACTCAGGACATCCTGCCTCTAAGCCCAGTGCTCTATCCACTGCACCACCTAGTTGCCTCTGAGGGAGGAGATGCTTTCTAATTCCTGATGGAATAGAATAGTACCTCAAGGAACAGAAGCAATTCTTAACATTGGTGCATATAAATGGGACTAACTTTGTGTTTACTAAACAAAACATTTTTGTTTCTCATTGAACCAGAACACAAAACTCCCCTCAGGATTAAGCTTCTTAGGTGAGGCAAAGAATTTCAATACACTTACCTGGAAGCTGCCATGCTTCAGTGTGCTATGAAGCCACTGGTAGGTATCAGCCACATAATTCAACATATTCAATTTGTTTATTAAGGTTTTACTATGTGCAAGGCACTGAGATACAAATATGAAAAACAATGCAGCCCTTGCTCACAAGGCGCTTACAAATTTAATAAAGGGGGAGTGGGGAGGGAGATAAGGTAGATACACTAGTGACTATAATACAAGGCAAAATTTTGAAGTGCAAAAAGAGGTCCTCCCACCACAAAAAAAAAAAATGCCACGAGATATTTGAGGGAAGCTAGTGGGGGAATCAAAAAACGAAGGCTTCATTAGGGAGGTTCTTGAAGAAAGGGTGGAGACAGGAGAATGAAGAACAAGAATGGGAAATGAGCAGTTCAGTTGCCTGGAAAAGGTGGCTTTTAAAGTCAGATTGCAGAGAACCTTGAATGCCAGTGTTAGGGAGTATGTATTTTATTAAGTAGGTAATGGGAAGTCACAAAAGAGTTAGGGCAGAGCAGTGAGCCCCTTAAGACAATGCGAACCAGCAGTATGTATAGTGTAGATTGGAAAGGGAGGAAACTATAGGTAGGAAGTCCAAGTATAAGGTTATAGAACAGGAAGGTGATGAGAGTCTGAACCAGGATGCTTACACACTGGGTGTGATAGGAGGGTTAACCTAAAGTGGAGTTGTAGAATGGAAACACATGACCCTATTCTTCTCAAGATGACACATCCACTTGACTAGATGCACGAAGGATCCATGGTTTGTCAGTGGAACACCAATACACATTATAATAAATTGGTAGGTAAGGGTTAACAAGTGGCCTGAGACTTAGTTGACTCAACCCAGATCAAACAAATAATCTCCCTCAGAGGCAAGATCTCCTACAACTTCGCCAGGCTAACGCTCTCCCCACTATGCTATTTTCTTAGCTACAGATAAACTAAGACAAATGAGATTTTTTTCAAATGGGAGCAGAAAGACTTAAGTGATACCGTCAAGGTGAAATGGAAAGAAGTTGGCAAGTAGTTTAGATGTGGGAGGTCAAGAAGAATCAAAAGTAACACCCAGATTTTAAGACTGGGAGGGTGGTGGTGGCATTAACAGAAATAGAGAAGAGTCATGGTTACCATTTCAACAGAATGGATGGGAAAAAAGAAGAAATTACACAAAGAAATATTTTCCCCTGATTTTCCTACACTTGGGGTAGGGAAAGGATCAGAGTATGTGAACTGGAGAGAAAACAATGAAGTATGTGATGTGAACATGTCCCTCAAGAACAGGGCAAGAGAGTGTATTCTTAAGAGGGAGATAGTCAATAGTCCAGTAAATGAAATATCCCACTAATATCCAGTAAATGGAACCTGCCACTATACTTCATATTCAAGCGTGCTCAAATGCAGGTTCAATATTTCAGTTCTTTCACTTTTCCCTCATCCCCAAGCAGAACAAAACCTAGAAGCAATGAAACCTGAGGAAACCTCCAACTAGAACTGCAGCCCCAGAACTGAGTTAGAACCAGCCCAATTTCTGGCAGTGGAGAGGCAGGGTGAATGGTTATTAACTCGTGCTTATACCTTGTCAGGCTCAATAGCAGTCATCTTCCAGTTGATCCCTTTAATGAGCCAATTCAATGACAATACTAGGTAGAGGGTGGAAAGAGCTCTGGACTTGGGGTGAAGAAGACCTAAGTTCAAATTCAGCCTCAGACATTTACTAGCTATGTGACCCTATGCTAAGTTACGTAACCTCTCTTGGTCTCTTTCCTCATCTGTAAAACAGAGAGAACAATAGCACCTACCCTCACAGGGTCTTTGTAAGGACTGAATGAGAACACATGTAAAGT